TCGGAACCGTTGTAGTTTCTGAGACTAAAAAGCGAGGGGGCAGAGAATCATACTTGATACCGTTGGCTGTGCAGTGTGCTCTCCCTGTGTTACTATTCATATGCACGTTACCTCTTCCTGAAAGCCCACAATGGCTTGTCGGTAAAGGCCGATTGGCACAGGCTCGTAGCAACCTGCGAAAACTCCGTGGCCTCAGCGAAGAACAGGTCGACGTCGAGCTTGAGATAATGAAGCTCTGTGAACAAAAGGAACGTGAATTGAAGGCCAATGTGAAGTTCTGGGAGATATTCTCAAGGAAGTACCTCCGCCGAACCCTGACAGCTGGATCGTTCTTCTCTTTGAACCAGGTCTCCGGTGTCATACTCTCAACGACTTACGTTACGGTTTTCCTCACGGAGATCGGTATGGAGGATTCATTCACCTTAGATGCTTTCTCCTTGACGGTGATTGCATCTTGCTGTACCCTTGCCGGTACTATAGCAGCACCCTTCGTAATCGATCGAGCTGGTCGTCGTCCTACTGCATTGGTGGGGATGAGCGTGTTGCTCGTTATTGACGCTCTAGCTGGAGGTCTAGCATTCAGCAAAGATAAGCGCTCTGGTGTAGCAATTGTCGCATTATCTCTAACTTTTAACTTTTTTTGGGCCTCGTCGTTTTCTTCATTGTCGACCTTGATGCCTTCAGAGATGGCCACACCCAAACTCCGTCACCACACTATGGCCTACACCATTGCCTGCGCTCAGACAACCGCAGTAATTACTACGCTTGTCGTCCCTCGGCTGACCGCGCCAGATGCAGCAAACCTAGGCGCGAAGACCTATCTTATATTCGCTGGCTGTATGTGCTGTGTTGTAGTCTTCACGTTCTGTTTCCTACCTGAGACCAAAGGCCGCACCTTTGCAGAGATTGATGAAATGTACGACGCAGGTGTTCCGGCCTGGAAATGGCGGGCCTATGAAACTTCATTTGAATTAAGGACAGATCCGGATCCCTCAAAACACCGTCCCAATGTTGCTTAGCATCGTTTAATACATTATCCTCATCGTGTATCTATATAATACAGGTTAGAACTGAGATGTTTATTAACTCCCTGCATTCGTGGCATCTCCCCGTCCGGTCGTAATCTGGGTATACATTGGTACACTTGATCTAACTATAGCATGTAATCAAGAGCCACTACTCAAGTTAGCTCTGGCTTCAATAAACGGCGAATAATCCGACTCAATATGTCTCTTCCACGAGACCCGAGGAAGAACTCCTTGCATGCCTTTAATCGGGACACCACCAATACGCCAAAGCCTAGAAATGAAAAAAATCAAATCAAAGATAGCACATAAGCAACAATCAAGCACCGCTAGGGGTATGTGTTGTTTGAACTTGTGAAGACCAGTTACTATAAGTGTTGCTCCTGATGTTCGAGGCACTCAAGAAGGCCTTGTATCTTTCCAGGTAAGGGTGATTCCCACCGCGAAGGCTATTAAGCAAAAGTAGGAAGTCCTCCGCTAGGGACTGAGGAAGCGTGGTAGCGGCGCCTGAGTGCATGGATCCTGGAAAACTTGGTGGCGAGACGCTTGACTTCGACATCGATTCGGTTACGGGAGGTACAAGAGGAAAACCATTCCCCAGAGACAGCTGGACATTAGACGATACGCTGATGGCGCTGACAGCGATGTCATACAATTTTTCGACCTAGTTAGATGAGCCACGGAACCGAATGCAATTTACGAATAACGTCTGACTCACGAGGCCAATCCCATGTGCTTCCATGGAGCTCAGTCTCAATGACTGGCAGATTTTGAGCGTATCCTTTGCGACAGAAATGCAGTAGTTGAAACACAGCTCATGGTGGTCGGAGGAAGGCTTCAGTAGACTATGGGTGGAGCACAGAACCCATACGCGGTTCTGAAGCCACTTTTTGGTGATAAAAACATCCGCACACTGCGTTTCTCTCAACCCCATCGCTGGCTGAGTGTTGCGAGTCTCCCCAGAAGCTGATTTCGTGCGTTCAAACCAGTCATATCCCTTATATCGTTCAGACTCGCTAACCCGACTAAGATTTTGGTGGATAGCCAAAGCTTTCGCTTCGGTCAACTTTTCACAATAACCAGAGTCGATGCTGCAACGTCGGTTCCAGCAGTCGACGACATCCTCGTCCACAGCATCAAAGAGCTCCATCAAACGGGCTAGACCCATCATTCCTTCAGCATCTTTCTCATTATGAACTATAATCCCGGAAACAAGACTATGCGTGGCATTATGAATAAAGTCATGCACAGAACGCATGCTAAAGCCAGGCTTTCCCCAAAAGGTAATCGGATGCCTACGCTGTAATGCATACGCTCTTTATTGGATGTCAGCTAAGTAAGAAAAGTCAAGTTGGTAAAGTGCGTAAGCGATACATACCTCTCCGTTATAGACAAGACTAAGTAAGTTCGCAAACGCTGGCCCTTTTCGTCACTAGGTAGATCGCGATAAGAATTTGGGTCGTTCAACCCCAATGTAGCGGCGAGATCTAAAGCCTCCCTTAGACGAAGCCATGCTGCGTTGTGCTGATTACTACCGAAAAGGCATCCAAATAAGAAGAAGCTTGTGAGGACGGCCTCGATAGTCGGATTTTCGCCAAAATCAGAGCAGCTTCTCATTCTTGTAGCTTCGGTCATCATTAGCCTAGCCTGGCCAGCTCGAGATTGAGAAGTGGGTCGCTCATCTATCTCAATGGGCTGGGTAAGCGAGAAGGCACACAGCGACAGTAACATCGAGCCAAACTGAGGATTTTTACGATGTTCATGGGATAACATCCGGATGAACAACGAAGACCGATTTAGCACTGGCAAAGTCGGGTGCAGACGATCAAAATAGACGTCAATCCATGGAATCATGTTTGCCTCCACGATCGACGAGGGCCATAACGCTCTCGTATGACTTGGTTCTTGCTTGGTAACATCCACATCCGGCACAGGAGCCGGAATGCTATGTGTTTCTAAACTCTGTGCTTGCAGACCCGAAGAGTCCGCATCATTCTGAATGATAGAGGGCAGAGATGTCCTTAGATAGATATTCGTGCCCGGAAAATCAAAAATGGGCATTTGAGCATCTAAATTATCCGGCAGCCAATACTCCACATCGTTTCTCTCATTCCAGCTTATCGCACTGTTACTGTGAGATGCCATAGACGAAGCATCTACACCCCAGCCAGGAGCAACCGCCGCTGTCGCATGGGATTGCGCAAGGTCGACGGGCACGGAAACATCGCCACCTGGAATAGGCCATGGTGTCGCATCATGTCGACCCTCTTCCCGCGGGGGAGGCTCTGCTTGATATGGGAAAGTGGTAGGAAAGGTGCTGGAATTGACTTGGCTTTGTGGGGAGGGGGGGTTTTTGCTTAACACATGAGTTTGTTGCTGTCGGATCTGCGATACACGACTAACGAAATGGTCAGGCTATGCAGCATTTCAACAAGTGAATAGAGCATGATTCTAGTAAACTCACTGTCCAGTAGGACCCCGTTTCTTCTGGGGTTGAAAAAAGGTGCATTCAAAACCCATAGACACACATGCTTTACATGGTTGTGATAGACTACACTGTGCGGTATTAAGAAAGTTAGCATACCCATGACCGACCGCCCAAGCATCAGAAATCAATAGCAGAAGGCGGGAGGTGCAATGAAATTAATAACAATTTGGAGAAAGGGAAGGGAAGTATTGCCTTGATCTTCCGAAATTTGCACTGGTCGCAAGCCCTTTTCGCTATAGCCCCCGATGTCTTCCTTCGGGATTCAGTCCGGATGGCACCGGTCATCGGGGGTGTCGTGGTGGCATCCGAAGTCGGGTTCATGATGGCATGTTCTCGGAGGGACAAAAGGGGCGATAGGGGACAGGAAAACTAGCAGGTATGCGAGCAAGAGGGACAATCACAATGATATACCGGGATGAAACATCTCAATGCCTCACACTTGACTCTTCCGTCCATCAGTCAGCCTGTTATTCAAGAGAATGATAAACAACATGGAGAGAGAAGATGAGGGAAAAAATCGCCCGTCGTGGAGGCCCCGCGTGATGAATCCACTGTAACGTATTTGTCTCAACCTTAGTGCCGTGACTTTTTCCAAGGTTGTTTGAAAGGGAAATTAAAATCAAGATAAGAAAAATAAGGGAAAACTTTTACAAAGGCTAAGATTTTACGATTCTTAATGGTTTTTTTTTTTTTTTTTTTTTTTTTTTTTTTTTTTTTTTTTTTTTTTTTTTTTTTTTTTTTTTTTTATTTTTTTTTTTCACATTTTCGAGGTTACAGATTTTTGGTTTTTGATTTTTGGTTTAAAGAAAAACCTACGATAGTCTCTGCGAAATCCGGGGTTTACGTTACAATTCCACATATGACATACAAATTTAACCATAACCAAGACGAAGTATTCTATATTTCTGTTTCTCTCTTCCTCCCCTTTTTTATCATGATTCATGATTTCTAGATGATCCAGCTTCCAAGTTCATGTTTATATTGCTCCTAACAGGATCCACCCACTAGGGTCTGGGTGAAACATTGCGATCCCGCACTGTGACTGGACCCCCCGGACCAGAGTAATACTTGTCTCCTTGCTGAATATATTATTGAAAACAAGATATTGCTGTGCCTATACCCAATCTGATTTAATACCTACAATAACGTTCTATAGCATATATATAGATAGTTGCCTCAGAATTTGTTCTCATTAGGTGGTTTTCTTTTCCTCGGCAATCATGCCGTTCCCCCAGTCGTCTCCACTCCAAAAAGGGTCCAACTAAGTACTTATAGATAACTGTTACCCCAGGTCGCGGTTATCAAGATGATTGGGGTCACCACTAATAACCCCCCAAGTGAGATTACAGCCTAAATTCACTACTTGGGCTAAACAATATATAAATGCTCTTAGAAGGCCGTGTTCTATAAGCCTATGGCCCATGATTTAGTCTGTCTGGCAACTTGTATTCCCAACAATCTATCTGCGCATACCGCTCTTGTGTAAAATGAACAACCCTCAAACATGGAAGCAAATTGCTTCTCGAAAAGAGTATTTACGAAATGAAATGCTGAAACCCTACATGGTCTCCGATGTGGATCAACGGCTACCCCAGGTCCACAGTGTCCAGGAACGTTCCCGTCCTAGGTTGACTCCAGGAGGCTCGACAGGGGGCGAAGCGGCTCTATTAGCATTGCATGGCACCCTCTTGGGGTTTGGGACAGATATCGGCGGAAGCACCCGGATTCCGCAAAGCATTGTGGACTTATACGGCCTCAAACCCACGGTACGTTTTAGCCCTTGATTGACTGTTCATGATGAAAAGTCCCATGCTGACTGCAAAGCAGATCAGCAGATTACCATACCTAGGGGTCCCTGTCTCAACTGAAGGACAAGAGCACGTCCCCTCTTCCATCGGCCCCATGGCCCGCGACTTAGCATCTATTGTCTATGTTAGTCGGTCTGTTGCTAACGCTAAACCGTGGGAGTTGGACCCAAAGTGCACCCTTCTTCCGTGGAATGAGGATACGTTCCAGGAGATACAAGGTCGGCCCATAGTGGTCAGTTTGATTCTAGATGACGGGGTGGTGAGAACCCCCCTATCGAAAGAGCCCTCCGTGAGTTATCAGCAAAAATACAAGCAAAGGGTCACGAAGTTGTCATCTGGGATGCTTTAGACTACATTGAATATATCCAACTCATGGATCAGTATTATACTGTTGACGGCGGCGGGGATATCCGTCGTGACATTGCTGCCGCCGGAGAGCCTTTCACACAATTGGGATCTTTATGACGTAAAAGCTATGGAAGGCCATCCCATCAACGTCCAAGTCATCGGAAAGAAACTTAATGAGGAAAGGGTGCTAGGGGCTGCAACCGTTATCGAGAGAGTCTGGAGAGATCTCTAATTGCCATAGCTGGGGAAGTTAGCATTGTGCTTGTGTTTATGTCTCGCAATTTTATCAGTCTACACCCCACTACAGAGTTTTGGGGGAGGGTTTGCTCTGACTTGGAGTAATGTCAACGGGTTTGGGGTAGGTGCCTCTAGAACGTTGGAGTAAATTTATGAGAATGAGGGGTAAGTTATGATAAGCAGACGGTGGGCTACTTGATACCGATGGATACGGTACTACTACTACTACGACGACGACGACGACGACGACGACGACGATGTAGGTAAGTTCATGTTACCAATGTCCTAGGCACGAGAGGGTTCCCCACTTCCAAGTACTTATACAACTATGTCTATCGTGGAAAGGGAACTTTTGAATTGATTGATTGACTAGCCAAAACCCGTTGGATTCATCTGGGACTCATGTTGTGTCTGAAAGGACCTCGTGTTTTCTGTTTAATCATTATTTTAATTCCAGATACGGCCGAGGGCCAAATGAATGATTGAATTTTATGCAATTGGGGGGAGGGGGCCGCTTATTATAAGATGCCTATGTGTAGATCAAACATCATTGATTCAACGCCTATAAACACCGTAAAATGCCGGGTTCCCTTTCTTCCAGTCTGATCACGTTCTTGGTGTCTCAAATAGCTGAGGTTTCATGTTGATCTTGCAAAGCTTCGCGATACAGCCACTCAATTGGAGCAATGATTGAACACCGTCTAGGATGCGCATGTGTGTAAAGCCTATCTCCCGGATGAATTCTAGTTTAGAGTGTTCCGATAATGTCGGGATCGTCTTCGTGACTCGGAACAATGTGCTAATAATGTCATGGGAAGAGTAACCGAGGTCCCTATAGAAGACGTAAGCTTAGGTATAAAAGACCCTACCATCACGCATCATGTGAGCATACCATAGCTCGTTTAGTGTTTCTAAGGCAACATCTACTTTCCCTTCCCAGCAGGCCTTAACCATTGCTTGAACTTTGATAGGATGGGGACTGTCGACAACTCGAAAGACGTTATCACCGCTGACAAAGCCGAAGCCTGACCACGTACTTTGCAAATTGTTAATGGCCTGGCGCATGTCTCCTTCCGCGCTAAACACCAAGGCCGCAATTCCGTCTTCTGTGTGTTCCACTTTTTCGGCCTCGCAGACCTGTTTTAGCCGTTTGACAACCTGCCCATCGGTCAACCTAGCATAGCGGAGAATGGCGCATCGAGACTGGATGGGTTCTATGATTTTATTCGATTGGTTACAGGCAAAGGCAAATCGCGTGGTAGAAGAGTAGATCTCCATAGTGCGCCGCAACGCCTGCTGAGCACCTGGCGTCATACTGAATCGCGATCAGTAACTAAGCTAAACAAGTATGCGAGGTGTGAGGGTTTATGTGTACCTGTCTGCTTCATCAAGGATTACTATCTTATGACGACCTGGTGGCAGTGTGACTTTCTTCTGGGCAAATCCCTTGATTCGATTCCGAACGACATCAATACCTGGGGCTCCATTAGCCGTTGCCTATCATAGTTCGTGGGCGAAGAACTTCATACCTCTCTCATCACTAGCATTCAGTTCCAAAACGGCTTCCTTATACGCATCACCTAGTAATTGGCGTGCTAGACATAGAATAGAAGTGGTCTTTCCGATACCCGGCATGCCTGAGATAATGACGTGTGGCATATTGCCATCCTTCGCGACAATCTTCAGTCGTTCAATGGTTTCGGTGTTGCCAACAACATCATCGAGAAAAACCGGACGGTACTTTTCAACCCTATGGATAATTGTTCGTCAGAATTGGTCATCCCATCGAACAACAATGATATCAGTTATATACCATGGCAGCTCATAATCAGGGGGTGCCCCCGCTGTGACGGGCTTGAGGCCATCGCGAGCAGCACTTGATGAAGATTCGGTTTGAGCCATTGTACAGCCGTTCCGATAAGCCCAGGGACTTGTTGTTAGGTTTGGATTGTCTCAGCAAGCAAAAGCTGGTTTGCTGGAGGACGCGAAACTCGCCCTGAGACGCGTCGGGATGCATTTTAGCCCAATTAGGATTGACCAGGTCCCGTGCTCTTCTTGGCATGGCACAGCTAAGTAAGTACTTGAATACGGCCAGGTCCCATATAATGACTACCGGTGGTAGGTATAGCTATACATATTGAACAGAGATACGACAGTTTCTGTGCTACTCGATCTTCTATCGTGACTGGCAATAATTCCAAGGCATGAAGTAATGATAAAAGGAAAGACTCTGGCCAGTTGCCAAGTGCAATGGTGCTAAGCTCCCCGCCCCACTTCTATTTGTTTAATACCTTTCTTCAAATGCTCGCCACAGCTGCAAGTTCGACTGATGTTTCACTTCTTTGTACCTTATACTTATGGCTCTTTCTGATTTTTAGCTTAATGGTCTTAATTGTATCTCTATAAGGAACCCGTCGTTATTTACTCGTTTGGTGTATTCACCTGAACTCTGAGGCAATAAGCTGCACTCAAGCTCTGTTCTTATGCTGAAGAAAACAGGGATAAAGAGGAAGAAACGATAAAGGGCTCTAGTACCTATAGCATCTCTCATACTTCACCGCATACAGCTTCCTGAATATTAATTCCACGATGGGAACGACATCCGTCCGCCGCAATCTTTTCCACCACCATCTCAGCAAACGCTCTGTATCAGCAGCTCCCCCCAATGCCTCGATGCAAAGTGGTGCAAACGGCGGACTACCCAGTCTCTCCTCCCATGCTTTGTCATCTGCGTCATCTGAATCGACACAGTCGCTGGGCTCCGGCACGTTCGATGGCGGGGAGATCGTGGTTAAGGATAAAAATGGTGATTATAAACTCGACACTCCTGTTCTTCCGCCGGCCGTTGGGGGAGAGGATGGGGACGAGATGGAGGGCATAGAGGGTGGGGCTACTAGAGGATCTGGGGCTACGGGGGCTGATTCCACAGCACAAACGGAAATTAGCGGACGCGAGAAAGAGAGTAAGCTTACTTCGACTATCCGTACTTTATTGGCCGATAACATACTAATCGCGATTGACCTAGAGATCGAGGCAAGTCTAGTAGAGATGATGTACCGGAGTCGGAACAGGCAGATGAGCACCGAACCAGCTGGTGAGTTTTACCCTTATCCCCCACGCAGTTGGATCTGGTTTGATTACAGCTGACTAGTTACCTCAGAAATTCTGAATCTCATTCATCAGAGCCTTCAGAACAAAGTGGCCTCCCTGGATGAAGATAACTGGATATACGAACCAGAACCCGATTCGCTGTTCTAATCGATGCCGCTTACATCATGTATGGTTATCTTCGTGGCAAGCTGTGCATAATAAACCCGATCTGGACACACCACGGGTAGGTACTGCCTTCAGTTGAATTAGTCGAGCTCCAGATTTGCTGGTGGCGCTTCGACTTTCTTGGATGAGCCTCGGCTCTGCGGCATCCTTCCACCTGTACCGCCCTGTCCCCCTCCGAACAGCATGCTACCCATCATATCCAGTAAAGGGTTGCCCTGTCTTGGGATCTTAATACTGAAATATTGCTCACCAATCTGAGCCAAGAAATCATCCCAGATGCCGACCTCTTGGATTTGCGATGCATAATGAGATGTTAACTGTTTGAAAAGATCCGCGCTGCCACGCTGAATCGTGAGAAGAAGCATGCTGATGAAATTCAGCAGAGGCAATGCGGGATAGACTCGCACATCTGTACTAGAACTGCTGACATCCTGTGAAGGGATGGAAGGATTAGAGGATGAAAGTCGGGACGTGAAGATGAGGAATGCTTTATTAGCACTGCGCAGATTCCCGGTCAGGAGGTACGGGAAAACTGCGCGGGATGCGTAAATCGCTGCCGTGTGCGGTTCGTCATTTGTGTACCACTCGTGCTCTAACTTTGCCAGGGTCTCAGCTGATTCTGAGGTTCCGAGGATCAGATGCTTTTCAGCGTCGTAGGGTTCATGGTCTAGAGCCATTGGTTAAGTAAAACATAGATATATTCCACCGGCATAGATTTACATACCTTCGGCATACACCGATCCAGCTGCGTGGTGTAATTCGGGGTCACCTCTCTCTAAAGGTCCAAACCGTCCACTCCAGCCAATCATCTCCTGTATGAACCTTTTGCGAGTTGGTTCCTCGGATGGGAACTCGTGTAGAAGCTCAATCAGGCGCTCTGCAATTAGGCAAAATTGTCAACTTGGTCAAAGCTCAACTCTCACTGTAAAGCTTATACAGAAAGAAATGCTTCTCAGGGCTTACTCTTTCGTGTGCGGCCTTCCGTATCATCATCACTTCCAGTAATCTCCCACCCCGCTTTTGTGTACACTTCGACGACAAGCATAATGGCCAAGTCCCCGCCACTGGCAGAAGCACCTTGCTGAGACCCGGCCCTTAAAAGTGCAGTCGCACCCCCTGCCAATAACTCCGCGGCTGCATCGTAATTCGCTTGTTTGATATACCGCGCAGCGATGACCCTCAGTTGCTGATGAGCCTCGTAGTAGGCACCGGAGGCTATCCTGCAGCCGCCAAAATAATTAGCTCCTTGCTATGAAAAGCTACCGCCGAGGTGGAATTGGTGTAGAAGCAAGTACGCAGGCTCCGTGATGTTCTTACTTTTCTCGTTGCCGAGCAATAGTCTTCTCGATACGTGAGGCCATCCTGCTTCGTGTTCAATGCAATGAAATGTTTGGGAAACGACGAGATAGGCGGGAATTAAGAAGACAAGTTGAGCTCGGTGATAAGATATGGCGGCGAGAGGAAGGACAACTGAGTGAGTGCAGGTGTCAGACACGGAAGTGAAGAAGAGGGGTGAAGTGGGAAGTGGACTCAAAAGAGTCGGGCAATACAGTAGTAGCTACTGAGAGTTTGGTGGGACACTTCGGCTCTCAATTCCAGAACGCTAGAGGGACGCATAGAATCAAAGTACTGTATGTAATATTCCGCATGCTCGTGTATTCTTTGACACGGTCCGACTGAACCCAAAAAAAATAAAATAGATGAACATAAACCCGTGAACCATTTGCGAAGCTCATTTATGTTACTTTTCTTCGTTTGTCGCAGATATGGCGCTAACCCTATTCTGGGAAAATACTGACCAAGTGACTTCTGTAAGGAACGCTCCCAATTTTATATAATATGTACAAAGCACAGCGTGGTACTCTTCTTTACCTAAACTGCCCTTGAAGCTCTCCTGTCCCAGTTGCATGTCTGAGTAGACGTTATAGTCGTTCATTTGACGTATTAGATGTTGCGATCAGGTTCTCTCTCTCTCTCTCCTTTTTTTTTTTTTTTTTTTCTTTTCTTCAGATTGCCCCGATCCTTGGTTTCTGAGTAATACTGCCACTCATCGCTTCCGTTTTTTTTTTTTTTTTCCCTTTTCTTTTCTCATATTTGACTTTTACTAGCCACAATTCTTCCTTTTATCCATCTTCAGCCCTTTCTTTCCCCTAGCTGCAACGTACTCTTGATTATTCGCTGTTGATCTAATTAAAGCACTAGTATACTCAAAATACATCACTAAGTATTATGAATCGAGGCGCTTTTGACATACAGCCGATTGGCCGCTTCTATGGATCCAATACTACGATTCGCCGTCCTAAGGTAGGTTTGACGTTCCTTCCTGAATGGTTTCGATAATGTAAACATTGCGCAGGAGATCACTTGCTTCTCATATGACGACCAGCACTCCTTTCACTTAGGGGATTCGTCTCTACGATACTACTATCCGCCACGTCTTCCTGCAGACTTGAATCGCGGTTATGATACTTTCCAAAAGCTGGATGATTCAGCAGATGAGCATCTAGATGCTCTACTAGAAACGATCATGGCCTTAGAAAAAGAGACAGGAACGAAATGTGAGGCTGACATCATCACCTGGAGGGGAATGATGACCAAAGTAAGCTGCTTGATCAGGGGCTGGTATCCCAACTTCGACTCGTAAGTTTACACTGGCATTCATCTAGATACTGACGGCGCCATTCGACAATTTAAATGGGTATGTAGAAATACCGATTGCCGCAACGTTACTCTTCACTCAATCATATGTAGATTCGAAATGAATGCGACCCGGTTCCAAGTGAGTCTTAACCAGGGCGTATCCAGTCCTTTTCATGGTACCCTGAAGCTAACCATTGTGCCTCAGGACACCATGTAAGCACACTAGCATGGCCATGCCCATTATGTACTTTCTAAACCTAAGCGATGTCTAGATTTATTGAAGAGAACAATCTCTACAAGAACCAGCAAAAACAGTTACAAAAGAATCAAAGAATGCCCCCAGGGATGCCTTCTCAGGATATGATGGCCTATTGGGGTAGCGTATATGCGCTTCCTTCATTTTATTGTCAGATGTTGATTGAATTAGGGTACAAATTCGAAACACTATCTCTTCTCAACCAGCCATGGGACTCAACGACCCGTGAAGAGATCGAATCCCGGGATGAGCTAGTTGTGAACAACAACGCCCAATACTGCTCAATTGTACGTACAGGAATAGGCAAGACGCGACTGATAATCGGGGGCGAGGTTGATGCCGGTATGGAGACGACTGAAACTTATCCAAGCGCACATGCTAATAAGTTAACAGTTTGGGACTGCAAGCCTGCTCGAAAGGAAGACAGTATCCACTGGGTGGAACTCAAAACATCTGCAGAGATAAGGAATGATCGAGACATGGTGAAATATGAGCGGAAACTACTGAAATTTTGGGCACAGTCGTTCTTGCTTGGTGTTCCTAAAATCATTGTAGGTTTTCGTGATCAGCGTGGTATCATCCATCGCTTAGAAGAGCTTGAGACTGCCAGCATACCAAATAAAGTCAAAAACGCTGGTAGGGGTACTTGGGACGGGAACATTTGCATTAATTTCACCAGTACTTTCCTCGAATGTAGGAACTCCCAAGGTGTTTGATATCCTGTATCGCATACTAATGAGCTTAAGGGTTAAAATTTACTATTAATGGGGACGGGATGTGGAGAATTCGAAAGCCCGAGAAGTCATCCATTATTGAAGTTTTCAGACTCGAAGAGAGTGGAACGGGTGATATAATTTCGCCATCATTCTCAGCCTGGCGGTCAAGGACATGAGGTCTGCCAGTCCAAGGCCATGAGTTTGTCTCCATCCGCCCAGTCGGATTCCAGGATGTTGAACTATTACACGCGTCGAAATTCAAGCCAAGTGTATCCACCGGTCCTACTCAAGATTTAGTAATACAGCGAGAGACTGCGACCGATTAGCTAGCTATGATAGTAATGCTCGCATTCTGTGGTGCCGCTCAAGCACTTACAGGCAGTATGCATGGCAACGTTTTGCAGGGTGTGGCCCAAATCTTCAATCACTATGGCGACAAGCTTTACCACAGGAGCGCTTTGGCACAAATGAGAGAGAATACAGGAGACAGAACCGGGAATGGTCGGTCTAGAACTTTGAGCTCAAACAGGGCTGGATCGCAATCATATGATGAGCCTTAGTGATCCTCCTGGATCCCATCATTCGAAATACTAATGATTAAACGTGGTTCAAAAGATCAGAGATGTTGTTGCTGTTACTGTTGATGTTGATAGTTGGCCGAGCCAAGGTAAATTTTGCGGCGACGGGTTCTTTTTGATAGATTCAAATAACTATTGAAATAGGTCTGAAAGAATGCTCTGCTCTTCTAGTGATTCACTGCCTTTGTCACAAGAGATCTTTCTCGTACTCTCTTTTCGAGCTTGTAGAGATACCTCACGTTCTGCTCTTTTAGCCATCGCCTTGAGGACTCGTTTATGGCTATGACCATTTAGATGGATGTGCCACTGCTCTTCGTTTACCATTGTTTTGCGGCAAACGTCGCAGGTGAAGCATTTAGCTGCGGAACCTGGACCCTTTTGCGACTGAGCTTCTTTTGCCCCCAGAATGGTTCTTGCTAACTCCGAGAGTGACTTCGGGTCCGGAGCAGATTCGTCTCTTAGTAAGGCTTGAGTTAGGAGCTCGGATGGTTCCGTGATGCAACTCCCCCAATCTTCCACGTTTGTGCTATCTAGGAGGTAAAGGCGATGCGCCATACCGGTCTCTGTAAGGGTATTCCATAATTTGTTTCGAATCCATTTGACTTGCGAGGCCGAGTATTGGCGGGTAGCAATCTTGATAGACTCGATACAGGATTTTTTTAGGGACTCTAGTTCGTCAACGCTTAGGGAACTCTGGTGTAGCGCTTCAAAATAAGGCGCTAGTTCTTTAAACCCAATGGCCACCCAAACGCCCCGTGTCGGATCGATGCTAGAGCCTTGTGCCTTTCGTTCTCGGACATAATCTGACATCTTGTGTGCTTCAGACATCAGGCCTTGCTTGATCATCACATCCACCCGTTTCTCAAGTCGAGCAATAAGAGCCTCTTTCTCCGAATGAATCCAGAAAACCATCGTCGGAAACCGTAGCTGGCCCTCGCCCGTAGTAGGGCCACCGTTGGCTAAAGCTGTCTGTTTGAGGCGTTTTTGTTCGGCGTAGACCTCCGATGCAGGACGTCCCGTCTGAAAGTAAATCTCCAGGGAACGACGAATTTTTCGCGTGTCGTTTGGATGCCATCTGTCCGCCATGACTGGATCAACCTCTCTTAACTTCTGCAAGACTACGTCTGTCGGGGCGTCGAGAATAGGCCATTTTGTCGACGGTTCCTCCGTTTCTGCGTCGGAGCGTGCACCTGATCCTTGGAACTCGTCCGATCCTTCCCCGATCAGCTGGTCTTTGAACAACACAGCTTGTGTATAGTAGTGAGTACCGCCCACCAAAATTGGGATTTTCCCTCTGGAGTGGATGTCCTTAATGATTCGAAGACATTCGCTCTTGAACAATCCTATGCGCCATGGTTCTTCCTCCAACTCGATGCAGCTGATTAAGTGGTGTGGTATACCGTTCCGTTCATCCATTGGAATTTGGTTCGTGATGATGGGGAGACCGCGGTACATTTGCATCGCATCTCCGTTGATAACTTCACCGTTGAAACGAGTGGCCAGGTCCACTGCAAGCTATCTACAGTCATTAGCAATCGAGATCCCAGTACGATCATCAGCAATGCGATCACCCACCTTGGACTTGCCAGTACCCGTTGCACCGACTATGGCTATGAGGGGCTCCATGGTGAGCGGACGTCTAGCAAAGAAAGGGTACCGGAGAAAAGGGCGCATGAGAGACAAAAAATCATTTTTGTCTCCGGCCAATCCCCTTGCTCGACGAAGTTACGGGCAGTGTTAGCACGCCAACTAGAGATCGTAGTGAGGTTTTTGTTTTTAAATTGAGAGGAAAGGATTCCTGGCGGAAGAGGGCGTTAACCTTATCGGGCAAAGCGAGTAGGTTTATCTAATCTCATCATTCATGGAGTACAGTGGGATGCAAAAAGTTTGAAACCATCCTCTTGACCGCCCTACATACCGCCATATAACAACCCTACCAAATCCAGTGCTTTAACCTACACACATCTATCTATACTTTGAATTATAGACCTTAGGAGGGAGATAAATGCCAGTTATTAAATTAAGTGACTTGTATACTAAGTAATCGGGCCTAGGGATGGAGTTTGCGGGGTTTCTGCCACGCAAAATAATTTAATTAGGAAGGCGGTTAGGCCGGGCAATAAATGTATAGTTTCAAACTTTTTGCATCCCACTGTAGATTATTTATCAACAGCAAGTACTCCGTAGAAGCAGTAGTAACCCAACATCCATTATTTAGCCCCTTACGATCCCCTTGCTTAGATATCGTTGCTAGGAAGAGATCATATTCCTCATAATTCTCTCTCGCGCGCGCGTGCTTCCAACCCCCCGCCCCCGCCTCTCTTCTTATCTGACAGTCTGTATCTTTCTCCCGTTCTTTTTCTCTCCACCGAGTCATGGCCAATACACCGTCAATCCAGGTTAAAAATCTGTCATATCAATTTCAGGACGGTTCTTCCGGCCTGGCAGATGTAAGCCTCGACCTACCGGCCGGAAGTCGAACTTTACTCATCGGGGGTAAGCACGTTGTTCGGCCCGCAGTTGATTATTGATTATTGATTTTTTTTTTATTAATGGCTAACGTCAACGGTAGCCAATGGAGCGGGGAAAACCACCCTTCTACGGTTGCTCGCGGGCAAGCGTCTCGCTCCCGATGACACGATCACCGTTGGGGGCAAGGACCCCTTCAAAGAAGGTCTGGAAGGGGTGACTTATCTAGGCGTCGAATGGGTTCTTAACAACATTGTCCGGACTGACATCGACGTTCCTACACTGCTGGCTTCTGTGGGCGGGAACGCCTATCCCGAGCGGAGGGATGAGCTTGTGGATATTCTCGATATTGACTTGCGGTGGCGCATGCATGCAGTGTCTGATGGAGAGCGCCGCCGCGTCCAGTTAGCCATGGGTTTGCTCCGACCCTGGCAAGTCCTACTTCTCGATGAAATCACCGTTGACCTGGACCTGCTATCCCGTCATAATTTTCTCTCTTTTCTCAAGCGCGAGACGGAAACTAGGTCCTGCACCATAGTGTACGCGACGCACATCTTGGACAATTTGTCTCAGTGGCCAACGCATTTGGTGCACATGAATCTTGGTAATGTCAGGCAGTGGGGCCCAATTGCAAAGTTCCAGAAAGAAGTGCCAGAAACGTCCGAAAATAGCCAACTTGGAGAGCTCGTTCTAAAGTGGCTCAAGGAAGATCTCAAGGCCAGAGGTCCTAGAAATGGGCGGCATGGCCAAGCCAAGACCTACGAGTCGTTTGATGGAATGGGGGGTTATGGCTTTGAAAAACGGAACTGAAATAATTCCTCTAACCCTGTCAGTTTCTCTTCCAAGGTTTAAACCTCTCTCCCGTATTCGTCTCTTTTTCGCCGGTTTTCTTTTGTTTTCTTCTCGCTTCTTTCTCCTTTGTTTGGTGATTTATTTAGTGATATTTCCGCCTCATTCAACCATATTTACTTTTACCATGGCATGGCATACAAGGAAAGGGTGTCACTGCATTGAAATATGAGGATCAACTCCAGCGGATATATTCAACATTTGATAATTCCTTCAACAGGCATAGACCTCACCGATGTTCTTTGCTTTGTATTTGTATATATATAAGTCATATATCATCTCATGAAATCATGTTCGAAATAGCATATATACGTGTTGAAGTGTCCTCACTTGCAACGGCAAGCCTGTGACTATATTCGTCTTGGCTGGTATCGTATTTTGCAGAAGGTCGCCATGCGAGTTGTGTGATCGCCTTGGACGGGGATATTAGCTTGTCGATATTACCCAGATGTGTTGCCTCCAGGCTGTCAAATGCGATTTTGTATAACGACAGTTCGCCGCTATCCTCGCCTGTAGCAAGGAAGACGGAGTTCGCCTGCACCCTCGGGAGGAATGATATTGCAGTAACGGAGCTCTTCAGTGTGATTATTGTTTTGCATACAAAGGACCCGTTGCTAATTTGCCAGATTTTCACTAACTTATCGCGACCAGCTGTGGCGAAAGTGTGGATATCCGGTATAGGGGCCCAAGCAGCATCCAAGATCATTCTTGAATGGCCCTTAGGGTGAGATTCCATGAGTGAGAATGCAGATCGGTCTTGTTCACTGCGGCAGTAAATTGCCCATTGCCGGTCTCGACCAACGCTCAGTAGGTACTGATCATCGCTGGAAAAGGAAAGGCTCGTAATAGTTAAAGAATGTGCTGCAAGGGAAGGCCGTATCTCATGCCAGTCCGATATATCATAGAGACGAACCACTGCATGATCTATTGAGCTCGCCTTACAGGCCGTAGCAATGAGTGTGCAGTCATGACTGACAGCCACAGCCGAGATTTCATAGCCATGACCATAGAGTTTTTCGTGTTCTGGCCATAGTGTGTAGCGCGCTAGGTGGTCTTCTAAGGGTGGCTGATTTGAATCCGAGAGTATTGTTTGATTTGCCTGGGCTTGTCCAGTATTGGTAGCATTTGCCTCCTGGCCCTCCCCCTCTCCCATTGGAGTTTCTCCCATCGATTGATTTGAGAGACCCAAAACCGGGATCTGAGCCGTGTCTGGCAGTTCTCCTGCTGATTGCTTGAATCCAGAGAGTTTCTCTAGTAACCTAGCGATTGGTTTGGGCTCGTTGAAAACCCGCAAAAGCTTCTCGTCTGCACCGGAAACGAAGCGCGCAGGTCCCAATGTATCGACACAGTTCAGATCATAGCCGTGAATTTGTGGCCTCGAGAACTCATGCCAAGACTGTTTTCCATCACGCAGCCATTGGGCATGAAGTCGAGTCGTCTGGTCTCCACTGGTAGACAACAAATAACCCCCAGTAGGTTCCCACCGTACGCCATTAACCGAGCGCACATGTCCCGATATGCCCAGGATCTGCACCCAGACATCCGCATCCGCATCGTAGCTCCATGCCCTCCAGCTACCTGTTCGTCCAAGGCTTACTACTTGGTTACCGTCCGGTGACCAGAGGCCAATCCAGAAGCCACCGGTGCTACCTGTAGCTGTAGTAGACCCCTTCTGAACACTGATTTCCCCCATCCTTTCAGCTGAAACCCAAACTCCAGAGACGGTATCTTGTTCCCAGATAGTCAAGGTATTATCCGCAGAAGCAGAGAGAAGTTGTTGACGTTCGGGGCTGGGGTTCCATGCAGTAGTGTAAATCCAGTCCTCATTCCCGAACAGAAGAGCTTCGAAAGTAACAGAATACTTCGACCCCGCCGCATTAAATTGATGAGCTTTATTTGATAGTGTCGGTTCGAGTTCGCCTAGCACGGGGTCCTCTTCTCCTGCCGCCCCTGCAAGGGTAACCTCCCCGCGTTGGATTCGCCAGAGGCGAATATACTTGTCCTGGCTAGCAGACGCGAGCAAAAGGTCTCCTGTTTTGCTCTGCTTATCTCGCGTAAATGACAGAGAACGCACCCAAGCCTCGTGACCGGATAGCACAGCAGCAAGCCTGAAACTAGTATCACCGAGCGGGTCTTCGAGGATGTAGATATGTATCATGCTTGTAGTGCCTGCAACTGCCAATATCATGGGTCCATCTGCCTGGAGCGGCTTCAGATCCAATGCCAGAGGGAAAAAGCGTGGCTTCATAACTATAGTTGTGAGTAACTCGCTCTTGGTTTCTTCTCCCTGGGACATTATTCTCCAAATTTTGACACTTCCATCTGCCGCTCCAGATGCAACGAGATCCGCTCCATCACTGACAGCGACTGCGTTTATCGAGCTTGTATGACCTTCTAGAGTTTGCGCATGCGTGAATTGGAGATTGGTACCCGTTACAGCTCGCCATATCCGAACTGTGTGATCAGCAGCAGCAGTGACAAGGAATTTTGTGCCCGTAACGGGATATGTGTAGAATCTAACGGCATTGACCTTGTCGGTATGACCGACAAGAAGAGAGTAGACCCCACGCTGAAACTTATCCTGCGCGCGTAATTAGACGCTCAGCCAACATCCATGACACAAGGCAGTAGATACGAAGCATAAACAAGTTCTACGCAATTATCCATACCTTAGGGTCCCACAAAGCCACATTGTTGTCCGCACCAAAGGCAAGCACTCCGGACTGAACATCCCAGTCAGCGGCGGCGGGTTGCCTGTTTCCGCCGACACTGATATAATCGCTTGTGATGGATACCATGAGCTTTGATTTTGGGGTCTAATGCCTAAAAGGTATATTTGCCGAAGATTTTTGTCGCGCGGAGACAAAGATATAAAGGAAGGATTGTTGCAAATGCTGGAGGTCACCACTGGATGACTTTTTGTGCTGCGAACCCTTTGACGCTTATCGATAAGGGCGACGGCTCACGACATTGCAAAGCCCCTCTCTTCCTTCCCACTACAGCTGGGCCGCCTCCATGCCCAGTACATACTGTGCACTCCAGCAGGGCTAAAACCAAACATTCCAATATTTTACAGCGTAAATTTTCAACATGACCGCCGACACAGGAATTAGTCTTGAAAGCGCGGAGGCGGAGGCTCCTGGTTCTTTCTCTGTCACCGTTGAGTTCACGTTTGTTTCCCCCTCGCTACCCGGCTATTGCCTTGGTCAAATAAGTTGCTGACTTCCTGATACCATACAGTGGTGGTCTTGAAATGCTGTTCTCCAATGAGCGCAAGCATAGTGTCACACTACCTGCTCGGCTGAGTGACGGTGGCCGGCCGAAGATAAGCTTCCTCCTCGAATACCTTGTCGAAAATGTGATGAAGGATGAGAGAAAGGAATTGTTCATATTGGAGAGCAATGTGTACGTCTCCTTGGAGTCATACTAAGAAACTGAGCTAATAGTAGATGTTAGGCGTCCCGGTATCCTTGTCCTCATCAACGATGCAGACTGGGAACTGGAGGGCGAAGAAAACTATGAGCTCCAACCTGGCGACAACATTGTCTTCGTTTCTACGCTACATGGAGGATAACAGTCCTTATAATATATATTCTCAATCCCACACATCGATGCCACAAAGATGACAGGATCAGGGCCGGTAACTATGCTCGCTGCTCTTCAAAAACCGATTGTCGAAACACAGGGTTAAACAACGTCCTCAACATGCTGCTGCGATATTCTCTCGGGCTCACGAGGGGTCCGAAGTCCGCTTTGTGGCGTCGAAAACCCGTCTTGTGGACTACTTAATCCTCCAACCAAAGGGGTGGTGACCCCACTGGGGGGCACAGGTATTTTGATGTCTTGGGGTGAGCCAGGAATGATTTCCTTGGGGAGGTCCGGAATATGGATCCTACGAGCCTCATTTTGGTAGCTTTCCGGGATGATCTGAGGGAAGTGATCAGTAATATGTTCAATTGTTTAACTCGTTGCATTCATACCTCGATTATCTCGTCCCGAGGGAACTCTAGGAATGGAATATCCGCCGCATTACATGCCATAAGATAGCCGTATAGAACCCTTAGGACGCTTTCATGTGCAATAATGAGGAGATCATTCTGCTCACGTTCAAGCTCCAATATTATAGGTTCAAGGCGCACAGCAAGGTCGTGATACGACTATAATAGCGAAACTCAGTCAGCAACCGTCATATCAACGAGAAACAGAGTACCTACCTCTGCCCGAGGGTACCTATGGTGATAAGGATCCAATTCATGCTTTGCTACCTCGTCTGGATATTCTTCACGAATCTTCTTTTCTGACATCTTTTCGCAAACGCCTGGGTTCAATTGGCTCAGTTGTGATCTCTGTCGGACTTTGTATCCGGTCTCGTGAAGATACTTTGCGGTTTCGATTGTCCTTCGCCTAGTGGAAGTCCAAACTGTCAACGGTTTCAACTCATAGTCTGTCTCTCCTTGGTCGATTGTTGCTTGCTTCTCAGACTCTCTGTGCCTCAGTAGACACTCAGTCATTTTCTTAGCATAGTCCTCCCCTTGTTCTGACAAGGAAGCATCAGCTTTGTAAGAGTCAGCTTCCAGGGAAACACCGGCCTGGTGATGCATTTGTCAGACAACGGACAAGACATGAATGATGTAAGACTGCAAGTTGTTCACCCACCCGCGCAAAGTATGTATGTCTAGATTTTATGTGAAGGTTGAGAAGATAAAAAACGATCCGATGGGAAAGATAACCAAAACTTCGATTGTTAACAATCAGCCTTTCGCCAGCATTGATCATCTGCTTCAGGTCAGTATATATCTCAAGGCTCAAGATGAGGCGCTTCACCTTGATATAGTTCAGGTCTTTTTCCTCCATCGTCTGGAACTGAGGGATCCGAGCGTGTATACGGGTCAAATAGTGCTTCACTGCCTCCTCCGAGGTCCAGCCTACATACTACTAAATATTAATCGTTGGGTTCAAAGCATCGACTGCCGCTGGGGAGAGGCTTCTACTCACATCGGGTGAAGATATTTTTACCCGAAGGACATTCTCTTCGATAATGCGCTCATCATCGCACCATGACTCAATAAAAAGGGTCTAGTCCGGAGATACTTGTAAGCACTGTCCATGCATGGTCACAGGTGATAAGCATTTGCATACCTCAATATCATGCTTGGAGAACTCCTTCGCAAGCGATCGTCGTCCTGAAGCTAAGGGGTTAACAGCATCATATATTGCTATCTGGCCATTTTCATCATTCAAAAATTGGTATATGTCTTCCCGGCACCGTTTTACAATCTTTTGCCTCAGAAGTACTGAGGAAGCAGATGCTATGTTCGTTTAGCGGAATCAAGAATGACGTAAGTGAACGACAGTTGTCCAGCTACTCAGTAGTATAAACGGCTCAGTGGGTAGTTCACTAACCGTTAACGAAGAAGTAATCATCAGGGATGTCCTGACCAACTGGGATAGTGGCACGTCTGTAGTCTCCAAGGTGGAAGATCCTAGTCTTAACGCCCAACCTGTGATGCAATTAGCTCAGACGAAGGAAGTCGACGATATAACACAACGCACCACCTAAGATAGCGCGCCAGAGCTACTGATATATGTCTAAGATTGGTGCAATGAGTTAGTAGTGGCGTCAGTATAAATACAGCGGGTTTGGTAAACAAACGTCTTGCCCCTTGCTGGTAAGCCCACAGTAATAATGACAATCCGACCGGAGTGGAAAAGTCGGCCGGACTCTGTACTATACAACTGAGCCGGTGCTAAATCGGCCTTTTCGGGGAGGTCATGAATTGCATCAACAAATGTTGACGACTTGCGCCGGAATCGCGGGGAGTTAGCAACAATATCCGCAGTTCTAGCCTGATGTCAATGTGAATGAACTCGTATTAAAAACCGTATATCAGTTTCAGATCGTGAAGAGCAATTCCCCGAATAGTCGTCTTTCGTCACCTCCGTGATACTATCAAGGGGAGCTGTACACAGAAGGAACAAGGTATCGGAGGGACTTCAGAGCATAGCTTACAATAGGGTGTCCATAGTACAGTGAAATAACGTCAATGAGGCTCCGAGTCGTGAGGTGGCAGGCAACAGCAATAGAAAGCTTTGGTTAAGAAGAGTCTAGATGGTCGACAGTCAAAAAACACATAAAAAGTAAATGAAAGGGGAGAGAGAAAGATTCAAGAAGCTAGGGTAATGGGGTTATGCGCGACAAAATGTGGGAAAAGTACGTTGGCCAAGCAGTGAACCTTGTGGTTTCGGCGACGGAGGTGTGTACTGTACAGCAAGAGTGCCCGACTCTACACCGAAAAGTCAGTGTTGACTCCCAAGCACAATTAAATAGGAGTGGTCGATACTTCTCTAGATCCTTCCTGGAGCTCTAGGCATAAATTACACGAGGGTCAAAATAAAAATTTTAGGATCTAAACCTCTATTGGACGACTGCAGCTTCTACTATCTACTAGGATACCTGTCTGTCGCAACTCGCTCATCCCAAGCTCCTATCCCGAGAAGGCCCGAAAGAGGCTAGTGTAATTCGGCTGTCCGGAGACACCAAAGGTGCAACCGGGCGGAAAAGCAAAGTGACTTTTTTCAGTTCCAAAAGCGACGGAATACTCAATACCTAGTCAGTCAAACCTTCCCTGACATCCTTCTTCCTCAAACTCTTACTCGACCAGAGCAGGCCAGACATAGCCCGCCCTACAGTGGTCGATTTGCAACTGTCGCAGTTGCTCTCCTATATCTGAAGTTCGAGTAAAGGGCTGTCTTAAATCCTTCCTTGTTTTCAACCTTTTTCTCAGGCCTGCGCGACGACTACCCGTATCCATCATTGTTTTCCTCTCTTAACGACTATTATTCCTTTCCAATTAGTCACAATGGCCGAATACTTAGCTTCTCCTTCCTTTCTCACGGATAATTCCGTCGCTGCCGTCATAAAGGATGCATACACTTCTTTCTCAGAGCGAAGGGCGGCTCTCGGTCTGCCCAATCCTGGAACCGTGGATAACATCGCCAGGGAGGTGCAAAAGGAGGTCTTGCTATCCAATTTTATGTTCTCGGGTCTCCGGGCAGACCTGACGAAGGTCTTTGGCATGTCTCCTCTGTTTCGTGTGTCGCATGCGTTCTCCATGGGCTCGTCGGGGAACCTGCCTCCCTATGCCTTCTCGGCCATGTATGGAAGTCCAAAGGTAGGCTCTACTGTCACTCTGCAATCCCCTTCACCGTGATTCTACTCTTTACTGTGGATACTGAGTGTATGACATGGATAAAGGTTTTCATGCAAGGCAATTTTGGAAGCGACGGCGCACTCGCCGCTGTCGGCAACTATCGTTGGAGCCCAAAGCTTGTCACCAAGACCAACACTCAGATCATGGCTGGTGCCAGCCAGGGTCTTATGCAGATCGACAATGACTACACTGGCGATGATTTTTCGGCCTCGATCAAGGCCTTCAATCCATCCTTCTTGGATGGAGGTCTTACTGGCATCTTCGTCGGAAGCTATCTCCAGTCCGTTACCCCCAGTCTGGCTCTTGGATTTGAGGCCATCTGGCAGCGCCAGGCTATGAACACTCGCCCAGAAACTGCGATATCCTACAGCGCCCGGTACAAGGCCAATGACTGGATCGCCAGTGCCCAGCTCCAGGCTCAGGGCGTCTTCACAGCATCTTACTGGAAGAAACTCTCTGAGCGTGTTGAGGCTGGTGTTGATATGAACTTACAGTTTGCGCCTAACGCAGCCGCAGCTCTGATGGGCGGTCCCAGCAGAGATGGTACGACTGCCATCGGTGCCAAGTACGACTTCCGCGCATCCACCTTCCGAGCTCAGGTCGACAGTGCCGGAAAGGTCAGCTGTCTGCTTGAGAAGCGGATAGCGATGCCCATCTCTCTCACATTCGCCGGTGAAATTGATCAGGCTAAGGTGAGTTGCTTTTCCACCACTTCACTGCCTGTCAGTGTTCAATTGTCTAATGTGTTCGGTTTTAGCAATCGGCTAAGCTCGGTCTTGCTGTGTCCCTTGAGATCGCTGGCGAGGAACTGATGGAGCAGCAAGAGAAAATTGAAGCCCAGGGCATGGTCCCTCCACCTTTCTAGGCCCTTACAATACATAGTGGGGTTAATACAGCTCAGCTGATGGTGGAAGAATGGAATTTGCTCCATGTCCGCCTTCCAGCTGATATCTTTTTTCGTCGTTTGTTTTAATAGCTCTTCACTCCCCCTGTGTCTTGTTCGGAAGATGGTGTGTCACCTCCTCAGGAGTTTATCCCCTCGGATGCGGTCGATTATTTCGAGGACGCAGTCGTTTGGCGCCACTGAACCACATTTTGTATAGAATCACCTTCGAATTACTGGAATCGTTTTCTTTTTTTTTTACCTTTCACTTTTGTACTTTCCTCCTATGGATTCAGATATGACCGTCAACCCACATTGTGTTTTTACTGGTACCCTGTTTCTTCCCACGGGCTATTGGCTGACCACCAGGACTGCGAGGCATGTATGAAAACACTTGCGGGACGTTTTTTGTTTATGCATAATAGATGGGCAATGTAAAACCATTTTATTCACTTGAAAGCACCACTGCAATGATAATGTGGCATCGCGTCCTCCGGGTCTATGGAATCAGATGCCCACAGTGGGACAAGAAGGGGTGTAGAGCAATGCTACATATAGTGGTAGGTACCCTGTAGAAACCACATCATGGTCTAAACCAGGATCTATGCAGTCGCTAAATTGTATAACATGCTCTACCCTTAATTCTATATCCAGTGTCTTGTTGCCCCTAGCGTACTATTAACAATAAGGCAGGGTCCAAGCCCAACTCTTGACTCTACTATAGGTTCACGCTTCCAGATATCATGCACTCCACTAGGGTTGCGGAGTATGTTGGCTGTTCCCCATATGCTTTCTAACCACTGACAACACTGAACTAACAATTTAACCCTCCAGAAACCAAGAAAATGGAGAAGTAGATTTAGTATACTTTGGAGGTATAAAACTCGGAGAGTGAATGAACAATGAACAGTGCACAGGAGATAGTATGTACTACTGTAACTGTTCGTTTCAACACCCCACTCATAGATTTATGCCGGGGATTTCGGCTATGGCAGCAACCACTAAAACCCTGGTTACACACTCCACAACTGTCCAAGTTCACGGACATGATTTATGATTTGCTAAATTCGCGTTAGGTTTTTTAACTAGCGTGTGGCAATTATCAAATTAGAAAACAGAACCAAGGGAAATTGCCTGGTTAATAATTGATGTTCTTTTCGTTGGTACTAGTAGTTGGTTCAATTGATCCACTATGACATCAAGTCTTGAAACTGGAGCAAATATTCACCCAGTACTCCGTAGTCCTCACAGTATTTTGTTTCTCTGAAGTAATAGACTAGTCAAATAATACTAAGAATAATCGAAATAGTAATCGGGAACTGATCTGCATACAGCCCAGCTCGCTGTGGACACAGCCTGCCATTCCGTGTGTAGCAGTACAGCTTTTAGTACGTGGCCAGATATGCCTAATATAACTAACTAGCCTAGCACATAATATATATAATTAATGCAGCACAAGTTAACAACATAACTGGTAAACGAGCCGCCATCTTCTGTTTTCTACTCCGTATAATAAACAGCATATTTTTAAGCAATAATATCTCAACCATTATTATAAATATCAATTTACAACCAAGATATTATATAAATATTACTATTCTTTTATAAATAAATTAGATTTAAGTAAAAGCGAGTTCTGGACTATATAAATTCTAGCTATATAATATTAAATATACTATAACTATTTTATCTTATCTTAGTAATAAGAGCTTAAAAAGATCTCTACTGTTTATATATAATTATTCTACTATATAATAAGTTATATATAAATTCTTAGGTAGAGATAAACTGAATTGGTTAGGATATTTTTACTCAAAAATAGACTGTTTACTATAGAAAACAGAAGATGGCGGCTTGTTTAACTACCGATTATGTTTGTTAGTTAATACTTATATTAGGTTAAAAGAAGAAGCTCAGGGCTGAAACCCAGCTCAATATGAAGACTTCAAAAACTTTAAATACAAAATTTCTATAGATCTGTTATCCCGTCGCTCTGCACTCCTAATTATTTTATTCGCTCCTCAATCCTTGGGGGATATCAGGGGGACCCCTACATCCAAGGGCGCTTATTCTTATGGATATATATTAAAACGGTTGTGGTTATAAAATAGTTCAGCAAAGAGGAAGAAGATATATAGATCATATCTAACCTAACTAGGAAGCTTGGCTGTGTAGAGTGCACAGAGAGCTGAGCAGTACGCGAATTTACCCTAGGTATTCGTCCTTGGGACCCCTCCCACCCAAATGCGTTTTTCTCCTACCACGGAAAACAGCATTGAACTATCTCCTTAAACCAATGATTTCCGAACAATCGCATCCTTGTTTAGTTTTCCCGGTTGAGACTTGAGAGTGGCTTAACTCCAGCATGACAGCAGCCACCTAATAGCTCTGCAGGAAAAGGCAGTTGATACTTATTGTAACCTAATACTCTTTTAATCAATAGCTAGTTAGACAAGTAGATATATATATGCATATCTGTTTTCTAGTCCTTTGTTTGTACTATGTTGAACAGACAACGGGACATAGTGAGAGATACACATTCTCCTCTATATCTAAGATACGCGTACAACTCCAGTATCATTCATCTGCAAGCATATATTTCCCAATTCTTTCATACATTCATTCCATGACGTCAAGTCTACAAAGCTACAGTACGTGCTTCCCCAGGGAGTACAGAATCTGAAGATATCTTTAATGACGTACCGGTTCCAAAGTTAAGTCATACCATAACGTCCCTTTGTTTTTACGAAATATTTCGTTTCCTTCTAGACAAAAGAGGTGAACAGAGAGGATTGACGCTACCACCTTGATAATTTATTCTGAGCTCCTGAGTCCCTATACCAGCTAGTCCAAGCTCTAGTTAGTTATTTCAACAATAGATAGAAAACCTCGGTCCTTGTAATGTGTATCTATTGTTCAGTTTTTGTGCT